TTCTGGAATGATGTCATTTTTGGTTATTTTTGTTGTTTTGGTTTTGTCTCTGATAATAAATTCGACAAAACTAACATTGATTTATTGTGACCCGTTGCAAGATGCTACGAAGATATAATCAACAATCACCGTTAATAGTTTTGAATATTTTTGTTTTTTTTTTTAATTGGAAAAACATCAAGCTAAAAACGAAATCCTTGAGCAACTTAACCATACAATAACCCTAAATATCACTGTATACGTTTGGTTTTGGGATCATTGCTAAAATATAAATAATATAAGAAATACGTTATTTGGAAATAGCGTGACGTCATTCCAGAAAGGTAATAGGGCAACTATAATACTACTATGACCATTTTAATCTCGCACTCCAAAGAATCATTGCTCCCCATAGGAACTATTTTCTCCCACCTAACATGGTTACCATAGCAACCATTCATAAATATGAATAGGACGGCAACACCCCTCACCGCGCTAGTCCTGTGCCTAAATTCGTATATTGTCATCACAACAATGGCAATTTTATGCATGACTTATGCGGTCTGTTTTAGTCGGACATTAACCTGTGATGATTGTCAAGAGCCCCAAGAGTGGCAGGTAGACGGACAGGTAGTTGACCTATCTTAGTTATTAAAATTAGAATTTTAGTTACTCTCCAGCTATTGTTTTTAAAGTTCACTCATGAAAATGTCTTGTGGTCCTGAATTTGTTGCCGAACAACGGATTAGTAAAACTGCGCTTTCTAAAAATGAGAAAATTATTATTCTCGATGAGTTCAAAAATCGTCTCCACAGAAACCCTACATTTGAAATCTCAAAAATAGTTGAAGGGTGTCCGAATATAACTGGATCTTATTTCTCCTGTGTCTGTTATAGTCAATCAAGAAAATCCGAAAAAATATCCACGTCTGATTGCTGTAAGTAACCTATAATAAATAAACAGTAGTTCCCTTCCGCCATATCACTGTGAATTAAATCCCATATGGGTGCATGTAAAATATTGTGTAGAAACCCATAATTTTTAAAATGAGGTACGATGAAACTAGTGGTAACCACTTGTTAATTATATAGTCAATTTTTTTTAAATAACATCTTGCATTTTACAATTAATTATTGTGCGTTCGTGATGTCTATTTTACGTATAACCCTTTTTAAAGAATACTCGAATACGGTACTTAGCGATTCGGGGAATCCCAATAAAAATCCACTCCTTTTAGTCCTCAGAACGACGCGACGGCGACGTATCGCAAAATGTAAATAAATATAAATTTAATCGTTTTTTTTTAATTATTTTGAACAATCGATTGGCCAACTGACACACTAAAAAAAATTGACGTATCAATTCCACAACGATAGTTGAAAAAACCCTTGAATAAAAACAGTGGATTATGACAAATGGAATAAGTGGAAGAATATTGCAAGCTGATAACATTCTAGAAAACAATGTAGACCCGTTATCATTTTTGTGGGATCCGACGACTATAGTTCATCTGATCCTAACAATGTACAACCTGTTTAATTATCCTTGTCATTGAAAATTTTCATTTTATCAATCTGAATCGAAGGGTGCTTCGAATGACATTCAATATAATCGTGTCCTTTTAAAACGGAAATTTTTGTTTTGACACGAGTACCGATATTAATTGTTATTGATAGAAGCCGCATATATTTTCTCTTCATTTTTTTTTTTTGGTTGTCATTCGAAATTAAGCAGAAATTATTTAAGCAGCGAATTATCTAGTTGTTGAAGCAATTTGTTATTTGTTTGATTTATTTATTTAAGGCGATATTTGTTATTTTTAGGTTATAATTCTGTTTTATTTTATTCATTTTTTCTTTTACTTTCTTTTCTTTATTTTCTTTTTGCTTCTTTTTATTATCTCTTTTTTTTATTTGGAATTTTCAAGTATCTCAACTAAAAATCGACATATAAAAACAAAACACTCAGATCATGATATAAGTTTCAAATATAAAAAATAACTATCGATATTATCTGCCTAAGACTTATGTATTTTAGGAATTTTGAAGGGTTTTCAGCTTGGATGACCCAGCCGATTAGAAAAAAAGAAGAAAATACTTATACGATGAAGAAAAAAAGTTGCATGTGTAGTAAGTGTTAGAAAGTATAACTCTTATATTGTCTATATTTTTAGTGGTTGTCATATAGAGTGAAAATTATCTTTGTTTTTGATCTGGTTGTTTATTAAAACTCATGTAGGGCCCACTGATGAACGAAGGACCAAGAGATTATCTCAAGCCGAACAAACGACAGTTCTTTAAAAATTAACTATAGCAGTTTGCGGAGTCCAGGCCTCAGGTTGTGATGCTGCAATTGTTACAATTAAGTAGACTTTTAGGTTTGCATACAGATTATTTTAAATGAATAACGCAGAACATAGAAACGGTGAAGAAATTTCTTAAAAAAAAGAAAATTAAAAAGCAAACCTATTATCTAAATAAGAAGTAGAATTTGTTATTATAATTTTTAGGGTTTTAAACATAAGATGTAGATATCCTTAATATGTATCGCGAATCACGCACATTGTCACCATTTCTTTGAAATCCTATAAATACAATTTATAATAAATTAAATTTATTCGTGAAAAATAATTAAGTTCTCCAAATTAATATGCCAAGAAAGAACCTAAACAGCCCTGTGCGAATGCCCTTAATCACGTATTTATCCGATTAAAGTTAAATTTGGCGCCATGGTCAGGACTAACCACCTCATTCTCATAGGTCGGAACCGTTAGAAAATTAACGTCAATCGAGTAACAATTTTCACGTTACGATCTAGACCTTCAAGACATAATGTAGTTTAATTTCAAGAAATATTAAGTTATAGAGCAAACGCTTGTATTATTCAAAAAATACATATAGAGTAAACAATACGGTATTAAAAATTAACCGCTATTGGCTTCTTTATTTAAGCAACACTTTTACCGACTTTTCTATTGTTTTTTTTTACTGTTACTAAAGTCACACATTTCTCAGGTTATCGATAAGCGCTAAGAAAAAAAGAACCAAATTACTGACGTAATAAGTAACATTTTTGCGAAAATTAAATCAAAATAACAATAAATAAGCTGGAATTATTGCTGTTTAATTTTTTATTTCGAATCCACAGCGAAATACTACAAGAGCTTATTTGATAAGTTTGACACCCTGGTATATAAAAGTGAAAATGCACATAAGCACTAATGCCTTAAACTCACCCCTAAGTAAATCTCCAATTTTGCTTAGCTTAGTTTCATATAACCGACTAAATATCCATTTGCAAATTCCATGACGCTTCCAAAGTTTTTCCTGATTTCAAATTCTAATGTTCGATTACACCTAGAACATTCTTCTTTGTGTCCATTTGACAACAGTATTTCTTAGAAAAAGCCGGCTATAAACCCAAACCAAAAATATATTTTCAAACAAAATATTTGAAGTATCAAGTTAATTAACAGAAAATATGAACTAAATAAAAAATAGAAGGAACGAGAATGATTACAATCAATATTATTCTTTACTATAGTAATGATTGAAGTTTATTTAGGTGAAAAGACAAGGAGGAATTTACTTTATCTTGAAATTTACGAAGAATTGAGGATTTTTAGAGAAAACAAAGCAATTTTTTTTTAAGTTAAATTATTCAACATATTTTCAATATAAAATGCTCAATTTGATAATTATTTATTATTAGTTATTAAGATGTTTATATGGTATTGCTAGCAAATTTACATGTTATACTGAAACGAATCTTATTGTATTAGTAAAAATCAAGACACTATTATTAATATTAGAGTTATTGTTATTATATCGCCAGGCTGTCTGTGTTCTCCAGTTCGACTCTAAAATTCATGACTTGGGTGCCCTATGGTATACAATAAAAAAAGTACAGGATATTTTATTTTTTTAAAATATAACGTATATCTATTTCAAAAATTAAACTGAAAAGCAGGTATCTAAATGTTTTATTCAATACCAAAACTCAATAAAATAAAAATATACACAAATAATTATTTTTTTATTAAGAAATTCATGTTCAATTCATGACGTCAATAAACAAATCTGTGTATTTTTAAATAAATCTAGTATATCAAGAAACATTAAGTGATTGGTCACCCAAAGAGTTTCTCAGGTAAGTTTTAACTAATTTTAATAAAGAAAATGATCTTTCTCCGGTAGTGAAACTCACAGAAATTGTGAGAATTATTTGAACGGCTGTGTAAATATTACGAGACGTTGTTATTAAATTATTGGAATGAATGTATTCGAACAAATCAACAACAAACTATAATTTTCTAACCTTTTTTGTATTTCGTTATTAATATCTTATTAGTATCTATAATAACAAAATATTTATTTACTTTGAAATAATTTAACCCATCGAATTTTGTGCCGGAAGTACCATTATCATTATTAATCTTCTTCAATTTAGATCGTTTTGGATCTTGTTGAAATTCACCAAACTCTGAGGCATTTTTACTCCTTTCGTAATAATAATCAAAATCATCTCTTTACCGGTTTATGTAATCAATTAAACTTTTATAAGTATTATTTGGTTCATTTTACCACAGAATGGCATTCCAGAAAAATGTTCAAAGGGCTATTTCTTTGTGCAAGCTTAGAGCTTTTAATTTAACTGTTAAATTTTGCGCATTAAACTTAAAACTTTTTTAGAATAATGATTTCCTACACGTGTCGGCCCTAGCAGACCAACGAATGTCTTTTTAGTACTATATAATTATTTTTTTCAGGATTTAATAATTTTTTTCGCCTCTTATGCCACCTTATCAAGGATTAAAAAAATCACTTAGTAAAATGACCGCTGTTGCCTCTTATCAAGTCATTGCTTGATATTTCAAATTTTGAATAATGACTAGCTTTGATTTAGATTAGGTAGGACCCTGACATATACTTGAAAAAGAAGCAACAAAAAAAAACAGTTTTTTGCGTACACTGAAGTTGCTCTTTTTGATACCGAAACAAACGTGTGCAAAATCAACGTACCGGTCGGATGAATGTGATTATCTGGCGAACACGGTTGGTGGATCGGCAGAAGCGACGACTGGGTCACCTTATCCATGATCCTCGACCACTGTCACAACAATATACCGACAACACCAGTGCAAGAAGCACCACTGTACGTTTCGCGACGACGACGTCACCGCCTGATCGAAAATTAATTTAATTCCTAGATCGCCGTCTCGACGCAAATAAATCAAACGGGCGACGATGGTGGAGGAGGGAGGGGGGAAGATGGGGTGTGCTGGTGGGGCGGGTGATGTTGATGGGCGCGCTCGTCGCACAGAAATAATCGCGGGGAGATTTTGGACCGGGACGCTGTAACAGACGGCGGGACATCAGAAGGGGCGGGATCAGATCTCGCTGCCCTGTGTTTAACTTCTGTTGTGGCGTGCGCGTTTCCCCCCTCCCCCTAAAGGTCCTGGTTTGCTTTCTCGTGCGGCGCGGTTCGCTCGGTTCTTTTCCCCCCAACAGCCCTTCTGCCTCGACGCCGGGCGACGACGTCGTTTATATATTTTTTTGAACGAACTTAGATTTTTATTTATGGAAACGATGACGTCATATTCGAAGGAATATATTATTGAGAGGCACCTTCTAAAAATTCCCTCTGTATTTTCACCGATGTGTTTTGGTTAGTTTGACAATTTGCAGATATTAAAGTTTTTATAAAGATTTTTACCTAACCTCTAATCATCTGTTTGGCACATATAATATAGATTTTGTTCGACTTTTTTTCTTAATTCTTGCAAATTTTCTTTTGTTCAGGATTCGTTTCATTAAACGTTCTGCATGTTCTTGCAATAATGTAAAACTAACCAAAACAACATTAGAATTCTGGTTTTCTTCCATTTTCACAATCAATGATGAGTAAATTGTTATAGAACTGTCAAACGGAAAATGAATTATTTAACATAAGAAGGACATTTCATGGCCAAAATAGATGAATTATGCAAAGTAATCTAGTTTGCAGAGAAACTTGCTTTTATTTCAAAAACCAAACAAATTAGGTATGGGTACGTGATACATTATTCGAAGGAAATTTTATTTACCGTTAAATTATATGATAATATACGGTGTTCTATTTAAAAAAAAATGAATTTTTACTATTTTTGTATGTATTTGGAAAATCATTAGTTTTGACTAACCCTGTATAATATAGAATTAATTTCAACATTAAGGAATTCTGTTTGATTCTTCCCTAAGATTGAAGCTATGTTTTGATCGGAAAAATGAAGAAAATAATTATTTTCTCAAAAACCGCTGAACACAGGAACGTATTATTTAATCAATAATATACATGGCGTCCCATTTAAAATTTCAATGTTGATGCTACTTTTTCGAAGAAGCGGCAACGTCACACCGTTAAAAATAGATCGATAGAGCATCGGCGCTTACGGAACTAACCAGATTTTCAGAACAATTCAATGTACTGTTCACTAACTAACAAAATGTTTCTGCATCAAATAGTGTCATCTGCTCAGAAACAGATTCTTCTTTAGTGCGGTACCTCATCTTCAATAGGTATTTTGAATCTGATAATTAGCTTCGAGCATATAGGCCACCCCGCAAATAGAACTTGTCAATAGATTCTAAGATTTTTACGCACATTTTACATTTTTGCAATTATCGGTATTAATTTTTAAAAACTAGCACAATTGTCACGAATATTCACGAGAATTAATTAATATCAAAGGTAATTGAGCAATTCTATTTTAAATGAATTTTTCCAAAAAAAAAAAACATGGCTCTATATAACTGAAACTTTTGCAGCTGATGATTGGCGAAACGATTTGTGAGCAACCGACGCAATAACTTTCTTTGAAAGATAAAACCGCCAAAATATGACATTCTCTAAATCCTTTTTTACGTTTTCGATGAAAATCCTTAAGGTCCATAAAAAAACCAGTCAGCGAACGCCAGATCGTTCTCAGACCACCGTCAACATCAAATCGAGGCCAAAAACATCGTCTATATCGCCAGACGCGACTCCCTACATCTTCGCGTTCCCCCGCCGCCGACCCAAACCACGGGTGGTGGGGGGTCGGAGAGAATGGTTCCTTTTGGGCGGAGCGCGGGCGCCGTGAAAGAGCACGACAAGCCAATGGGATTAGCTCGTAGCGGCCAATGACGGCCATGCTCCGGCATCCACCACTTCACAAGTCAACGCTCGTTATTCGCGAGGCGCAGGACAGCCGCCGCCGCTGCCGCCGCCGTCATCGGCCGGTGACACTGTATTCCGGGAGCGGAGAGAGGTTTCCCTATCGACCGGACCGTTTTTTATTTTTTTTTTCTAGCGCAGCGTGGGGGATAAAATTTTGTTTGACTGAAAACGTTTCAATAAAACATTTTTTAGGATAATCATAGTGTGTTTAAATTTGACCTATAAACACGAGGTCAGGCTGACCAACCATACAGGATTGGCTGGTACAGGTTCAGATTATTCCGACAACGTAATGGAAAATCTACTCGTCCTGGATTGTCCTGGATTTTACAATATCCCTTAAGTCATACTTTTTGTCAATACCGAAATGCCCCATAATAATTAAAAACTTTTTCAACAATCCAGAAACAGAATGCTGGCTCTTTGTGTCTAACTTTTCCATAAAACAAGTAGTAGTAGAATGTCTAAAAATTTATAGAGGCTCAAGTGCAAAAAGAATAGTGCTTCATTCCTCTCATTTTAAAAAATATTATCCAGACCAACTATAGTTCAGTTTTACTTGACAGGCGAGGAATACCTCTCACAATGGGAAACTCCATCTTCTCCAATGTTGGATACATTTATATGGGTATTACTATATAACCCACCACGTTACTCAGAAATTCAACTCGCAATAACAACTATTTTATTCTATAATGAAACATTAATTAATGAAGATGAACTACTTGACGAAATATCTTTAATAAACGAATTTGTAACCAATGAAATGTTGGAATGTTTGTGTCCGATTGTTTGAAGTTTTTGATAATTGTACAAAAAAGCAACTGCGTTTTCGGCTACGTACGGTGGAGCCGAACGTATTTCCGAACTTCAAGGCAAAAGATCGCTAAGAGGTTCCCTCTAAAAAACCCGTCCGTTGCACATTTTTATATACTTGGTTTGTTTTGACCGTCAACTATTTTACTAGTTTATTCGAATATGTCAAAATTAAGAAAGACACAATGATTTGTTTTCACAAGAGGTTCGAGCCAAAATATTTTTTTAAATTGAAAAGCGTCTGCATATTCCATGTAAAACGTTAAATTAGTTTCTGTTTCTGCAATATTGTAGTTTTATTTTTGTTTTAATTATTGTTTTTTGTAAATAGCTTCCTTTCCTTTTTTGTGATTATTTTTGGTGTACAATTAAAAAATAATAATAAAAATGCTACAACGTACTACGATTTCCGATTATTTTATTGTCTGAAATATCGATTAACAATTTCTGACCCTAAAACCGCAGATGCATAAATAATCCTGCCAACTTTCTCATTATGCATCTAAATCGATTTTAAAAGCACCAATGCATCTTTCCGCAGTCACAAGTCATGACCCAGGGTTGGAATGCATATCCTGAATCGCCTAACAACCAATATATTCCTTTGAGCTCGAATGAAGGAAACAAATATAATTAAAATATACCTCGAAATACATAGGTTGGCATAAAAATAAAGTAAGTAATTCTTAAATCCCTATTACTGTTTTTCGTGTGTGGGAGCAATTCGTTAAATAAATTGAGAACTAGCTCCTTATTTGCAGATTAGATGGATAATTTCTATCTCTCTCTATCGCTCAGCTCCGCCTTGTTGAAACCACATTTGTTAATTCTCAATGTTATCAAGTTCTTTAAGAAATTGAGGTAAATCATTCTGTTACAAGTTAAAATATCTAGGGCCGTTAAAGTGGTTCGCAAAAAAAAATGCTGAAAAAATTATTTTTCTTCATTGTCTGCGTTGCGGTCTGCAACTTTCCGTTTTTCATATTAAATACTATTGTAGGAATCTGTATTCTTAGGTACAATTGGTATTATCAACAATGCCAGAATCGTTTCATGTTACAACAGCGATATTATATTTTGCCAAAATCACAAGGCAATTGATATCCATTTTGTGAAAAACAAATTGCTTATGGAAAAATCCAGACAAGCAAAGTTAAAAGAAGAAAATACGAACACGGGATTTATCTCAAGAAACCATAGGGGAAGAGAAAACTGGAGGAGGCCTAGTGGAACATGTAGTGTCAGTTCTAGCCAAAGTAGCGGCGAATACATTGAGAGACATAATGCAACTTCAAGCACAGGGTATAGCAGTGGGGAAAACTTTCCATTTCGGTGCCATTTATGCAATAACCGTGGTGGAAGAGGAGGTTTTAGAAGAGGATGCTCTAATCAGAGGAATACCGCTAATAATACAAAGGAAACTACTGAAGTGGAAGAAGAACACATTTCATTTTTGACCACAGAAATTTCATGATCCGTATCGAATCAAAACACCATAAGTTTTGTGCTTGACGGTGGGGCAACAAATCATTTAATCAGAGGAAATTTATCCAAGTTTTTAGGAGACTGCAAGGAAATTAAGCATAAGATTAGTGTGGTAAAACAGGGACAGACAATAAAAGCAACAAAACAGGGAAATCCAGTAGTAGAAACAGAGTTCGGAAGGGAAATTACAATTAAGAATGTGTGGGTTTGTTAAAATTTACTTTACAATTTATTGTCAGTGAGGAAACTAGAAGAAAGTGGACTGGAAGTGAATTTTAGAAAAGGAAAAGTAAGCATAGTAAAAAACAAAGCATGTGTGATAGAGGGAAAATTATTTTGTTAACTTCTATTTAAGAATATGTATAAGACACTGAAAAATGAGGCATTCCTCAAAGTTCCCATCTCCAAGTTTATGCGAAGTGTGTATAAAAGCAAAACAACATAAATAAGAAGACCTTCACCAAGAAAGAAAAGCAAAAAGAATTTTGGAAACAGTGTCAACGGATTTTTGTGGGTCAATAGAACCAACCACTCATGATGGTAAGTCATATTTCATGACATTCACTGATCACTTTTCACATTTTTGTGTTACCTATTTG